CGTTGGCTGCAGTCTTTTTAAATCAAACTCTTGACTACAGAGTCTCCATACCCATACTCTTCCACTGTCGGAAAATAATGCGAATCTTGACTCATCAGAGAAAATGACAGTGGTCCAAAAGGTCACAGGTCTCTCCACCATCTCATGAGCCCATTCCTTTCTGCGTTTGATATTGGCTGGACGGAGAAGTGGTTTCCTTCTTGCAGCTCTGCCATAGTAGCCCAGCTTGTGAAGATACCTGACAGCTGTTCTGGGACTGACATCAACTTTGTTGCTATGTCAGAGGCATTGCAACATGGATCCTGTTCAACATTTCTTTCGACAAGACGCATGGTTCTTTCAGAGGGCCCAGGGCGGCCTGGATGAGGTTTTGTGCACTTCTTGCTCTCTCTGGTGAATTGTACGATCACTCTATTAACAGTAGAAAGGGGTATTGAAAGATTTTCAGATATTTTTCTTTGACTAAGACCCACGATACGCCCTCGCTGAAATTCGGAGGGGGTCTGATTCTCCTTTGGTTCGTGGCATGTTCCAGTATTGTTATCTGCAATTTTAATCAAATAATCTAAGTTAATTTATCTTGGTTATTAAAAAAAATCAGAAATAAAATTTATCTTGGTGTCTATTCAATTCTGTCATGTCTGGGTATATATATATATATATATATATATATATATATATATATGTTTGTGTGTGTGTATAGCGTTTTATCAAGTATCTGCAGAAAAATGGTTTAGCCTCTAAGGATATTCATGCTGAGATGCTTGCTACATTATGGACGACACTTAATTAATAGTGCAAATGTGGGTAGATGTAATTAGTAGGGGAAGAAAGTCTTGAAGATGACTCAAGGTCTGAACATCTTGTGACTATCATTACTAAGGAGAACATTTATCGTATTCGTCAAATGGTGATGGATGGCAGGCAACTGACTATAAATCAAATAGGCAAATGCAATTAGCATATCCTGTGAGAGAGTTGAGACTATTCTACACAAGGAAATTAGCATGACGAACGTTTCTGCTCGGTTAGTGTCACGTCTTCCATTTGATCAAAAGCGCACAGGCTGTTCACATCACGGGAAATGTGGCATTGATCGAGAAAGATCAATCTGTTCCTCGAACGATCCCTAGACCAAGATGAATGTTGGGTTCATCATTTTGAGCCTCCTCCCCAATTCCACAGAGGTCAATGGTCATTTCATTTACAGGGAAGGCAATGGCCTCAGTTTTATAGGATGCAAAAGGCATAATGGTATTTGACTATTGCCAAAAAGGCCACACCATCAATGTTCACTTGCTGAGGCAGTTACGAATGGCTATCAAGACTAAACGCCCAGGGAAACCAGTGGATAGGAAGTGGTGAAGAGCCATGATCGCTCATATACTGAAAGGAATATGGCACATAGGAGAAGATTCCAAACTTAAAGTTGTCACTCAAAGAACATTATTTTGCAGATTTTAAGGAACAAAAAAAAGAAACTTCAGGCAGGATTTGAATTTGCATTCATTAACTTTGATATTATGTTTTAATTTCATTATATTAATATTTTATATTCATTTACTCAGGTTGAAATCAAAAGAAAGATGTACTATGTGTCGCGCCAGAAAGTTTTCTCACGTGAGTCCATCCTTCAAATCTATAAATCAACCTTTCGCCCTTACATGGAATACTGCTGCCATATCTGGTTTGGTGTCGCGCAGTTCGTCTCAAGGTCCTCGACAAAATATAAAGACGGATATGCAATGTGTTTGGCCCTGATCTGGCATCTCGTTTACAGGTTGCTCTCTCAAAGACGTGCTATCGCTTCCCTCTTCCTTCTCTATAAATACTTTCACGGTAACTGCTCCGACGAGCTACTTTCGCTGGTTCCCAAAGCGTGCTACTAGGTCGGCATCTCAGTCCAACCATTTCACTGACCAAATGGGTTAAATATAGCCGTCTCTTCTACTTCAATAGCTTCATGTCTTGCACTTCCCGTGTATGGAACTCTGTTCCTCTTACTTGTTTCCCGGATAGCTATAATCTCCAACTATTCAAATGCAATGTCAATCGACATCTCCAGATGCCTTGATCTATTCCCCGTCCTTCTCTTCATCTTTTCCTCTATCTCGCCTCTTTACTCTTGCTCCCATTCTCTGTAAACCCTTGCGTGCTAGTGGCACTCCCGCCTTGCTTGCGGTGAAATGTTTAAAAGTTCAGCGTTGTTTTGCTTTTCTTATTATCATTTTTGCTAGCATACGATAACTCCCGCTGCTTATAAAATATTATCTAATATATTATCACATATCCAAAATGCATAACTAGATTAACAAGATATATTGAGTTCCGGGTATTGTTAATTTTGTGTTACTTGTGGGAGACAATATCACCACCGAGATTAGCAAAGTAACCGCTGACAACTATGAGATTGCATGTGATTCTATATAATCTTGTAGCGACGTACTCAACAATTCCATGTACAGCTAGCAAAAATTTATAGCATACAAATGTAATCATA